TACACTGCCGAACTTCACTAATTTTTTGTGGGGGGTTAATTTTCATTGTTTTTGAGACCCAGAATTTAGGCCACCACAAAATGTAAATTTTCATATGCATAACTACTAAAAAGTTCTTCAACGAAATCAAATCCTCCATGAACCAAATTTTTTTCTCGTACCATAAAAATTTGACCCCACAGAAATATGTGATTTTACAGTATCTCGACCAATGATATATCTGACGTAAAGGGTAAACTGATCACGATTCAGGTGTCAATTTATATTCACTAACAATATTGACAACAGGGTACATTACATGCATGAACATAGCTCTTGGTATCCAATGCAAAGTCTTCTAACAAGTACCGTTATAAGTGGAAATTTTAGCAAGCTGCAAATTTAGCGATTTGACCTTAAAAATTGGTATATTTAGCGAGAACCAATTTTAGCAATTTAAAATTGTCACTTAAGAAGATACAACAACTACAACACAATTAATTTTTAGCAATATTTAATTTTAGTGATCTCATGACCCTCCCTAATAATGCCAAAATTAAATCCTCACTAAAAATTCTACTTATATGGTATTACATATGTGAAGTATGAAGGCCCCAGCCCTTACCGTTCAAAATTACTTAAGTAATGGTCAAGGTTGAAATTTTTTTTTAAGTACAGAAATCTCAAAGGTCAAAAAGTCAAATTTTTTGGTATCCAATGAAAGATCTTTCAACAAAAAATACAGATAAGAAGGATAAAAGTACCGGTATCCACTGTTCAAAAGATATGGCCAAGGTTAAAGTTTCTGAAAAGTAGGTTAAATCCCAAGGTCAAGGTCAAAAGGTCAAAGTTCTTGGTATCCAATAAAAGGTCTTGTCACAAAGAATATACATGTACATTGTGTAATATGAATGTCCTAATATCTACCATTTAGAAAATATGGCCAAAGTAAAAGTTTGGAATTTTTGTGTAAAAATGGGTCAAACTCAAAGGTCAGGGTCAAAGGTAAAATTTGGTGATACCAAAACAAAGGTCTTGTCACAAGGAATATACATGTGAAATATGAAAGTCATAGTTCCACTAAATAAAAAGTTATGGGCAAGTATACTTGATTTTTCTAATTGCACACCCCTGTCTACAGACAGACAGACAGACAGACAACTAGACAGATACTGGACAACATGTTATCAGAAAAGCTTTTTTGAGCCTTTGGCTTTTGTGAGCTATAATGATAGTAATGAGCTAATGATGAGTAAACTCCTTTTCAAACCTTTTTTTTTGGGGGGGGGGGGTGCCACCAATATCCACCCCACCCCCTGACAATACCCACATCCCCCAGATACCTGCAAGATTCTTAAAGACGACGTATATCAGTTCATTGTGCTACCTACATTGTAATTTGATAAATGTTTACAAGGCATGCATTGGTTCTGTGACTTGACCATGTTGGTTTCACTTTAACAGCTTAAAATGGAGATATTCTAGCTTTTCTGTTTCTTTACCTCAGTCCTCTCGTCGGCTGCAGTACAAAACTGTCGTCCGTGCAATCCATCCTCGTAGATAACACGAAAAATCCAGGAAATAATCTGTGTAGAAGCTCTCTGTAAATCGCAGTATAATCTCGCCAAAGTCAAATATCAAGTGAATGAGTACCAGTTCACGTGGACAAAACCTGCGTAAAAGCCTGCTGTGGTCACTGGTGCGTGAAATGTGTGAATAGCGGGCTTTAGAGTGTATGTAAAGACGGTAGAAGCTTTCCATGAATTTCTCATCTTACGGCAATGGGGAAAAGTCAAAATACAGCTATGCACCCAAATGATTGTTCTCGATATTTGCATATATTTAATTGGCGTCGATCATGCATAACATTTTACATGATTTAGAGAGCACAGGTACTTGTGGACAGATTTATAACGGTGCACTCCCGATCCTTTTTACATCGACGCACGGCAATCACGAATATCTCGACTCCTCGCTGTAAATTTCACCAAGAAAATTGAAATTTTTTTATATATTTATTTTCATATCAACAATAACATTAGAGCTTCATTGAAATTCATGTGATACTACTAGTCAAAATTCTGTACTTGGTACTTGATGAATTATTACGAGTCTTAAAGGTAGTCCGATCCTCATGTTCATAAAATTAGCAGTTATAAGGACTCAAAAATACTCATAAAAGTATCGCTGAATTCACAAAGTTATGTAAATTTATCCACAGTATTTCTTTTAATTTAAAGATTAAATTTAATCATATTATTTAGGGAAAATTGTCTAATCTCTAAATAATATTTTTGCAGAAAAAGCGAATTGGGATAACAGCAATGCATTTTCTAATTGCATTTCCACTTCCACTTTTTTCCCCAATTCCCCAACATAACCTTTACTATAGAAAATGTACATTGATGGGATGGTTGGCCCCCCCACTTTATAACCATAGTATAGTGATACAATGTAGCAAGGATTATAAGGAAAAAAATTGAAGTGCTAGTAAGTTGGTTTTTGAAAAGGTTGGCCATTTACCCCCCCCCCCCCCCCCCCCACGAAGTAGGATTTACGAATTTGGGCTCGTTTTTTTTTTGCTTGTCAACTTTTTCAGGTAAGTAAAAAAAAATTTTCTCAGGTTGCCCCCACCCCACTTTCAAAAACGATGCTACGTGCCTGTCTAAGGCTGGATTCAAGAAAATCTAATTTCTCTAAAACTGTATTAATTCTTTCTCCTTTGTTAGGGTACAAATGTCAACTTTTATTAGATCTTTAATAAGACTTCCAAAGACCTTAAATCTTATAAACATGAATTCAATGAAAACTGTTGCATAAAAAATTCACTTTCAAGCATCATTTTTATGCATTTCAAATTAATAATAAATTTTTGGAGTTATCTTTCTGACTGAGGATTGGATATCCTTAAAAAGAAATTGACCCAAGAAATACAGGGGCGTAGCCAGGGTGTTTTTGATGTATCTGCAGATCTGTAGCGTTAGGGCACAGAGACCTGACGTTATTTATTTTTCTTGTAATAAAAAAATATACACATACCTAATAATATTTATTAGGTCTGTTAGGTATGTGTATATATTTTTAATTACAAGAAAAATAAGTAACCACTTAGGTGCCTGTGCGTTAGGGTTTTATATATTTGTCTTTGACCATAACGCTACAGATCCGGTAGTGCAAAAAAGTGCAATACGGCGCAATATTTTTTGCGCTCTTTTGAGGAGAATTTCTCCTTTTTCCAGCATCGGTCAATCAACTAGCTACCTTTCAACTCCTAAATTCTAGACACGGGATCTGTAGCATTGAAAGGCTATATGGTTCAGCTTTCAATTTTTTTTTTCATTAAAATAAAATAAAACATATTATTTGTGAATATTTTTAAACCACCACAAAATTAGTCCCAAGTGAGCAGAATATGGAATGCCATATACGACAGCCAACTGCTTACTGCCAACTATCAATATAAATATAAAATTTATTCAAATATGTGTGACAGTTGGCAGTAAGCAGCTGACAGTTGGCAGGAAGCAGTCAGCAGTTAGCTGTCGTATATGGCATTCCATACCAACTAGAGAAATTTTTTTTTACTTACCTGAAAAAATTGACAAGCAAAAAAGCAACAAAACAAAACCAAAAAAAAAAATCGAATAAACGAGAATTACAGGTTGTCCAAACCTCGAAAATCCTATTTCGTGTGTGTGTGTGGGGAGGGGGGGGGGGGAGGTAGTGGCCAATTTTTTCAAAGCCAACTTACTATCAGTTCCAATTTTTCCCTACAATTCTTGATAATACTATACTATGGTAAAAAGTGGGGGGAGGGGGCAACCATGCTTTCAATGAACATTTACTATAGTAAAGGTAATGTTGGGGAAAAAAGTAGGGGGGAGCCCTGGAGAAAGCCGACACCTTGAGGCTGATTCAGCACCTAAGGGCAGGCAACTCTTTGAGTGCTAATTTAATAGCACCCTGGACCCTGTGAATCTGTGTCTGTTAGTGGCCCTCCTGTACTGTTTTGATGTCAGTCTGTTGGAACATGAAGATGGAAGAGGTAAGTAATTTAATACTCTTCAACATTTCACAAAGCACAGATGTAAGGAATGTTATATGTAATATCCATTAAGTTGAAGAATTGTGAAAATTTTAATTGTAAACATAAAATTTCTGTGCTCTGAATATTAGCAAGAGTTGTTCTAATAAGAATGAGTAGAAAGGTTAAAGTTGATGACCTTTGACATTTACTTAGGTCCTGCAGCGTTTACCATTGACTGACTCGACCTACATACCTGACATACACCAGGATCTCATGTCTACGCGAGTCTGGACCAACCCTGGACAGAAGAGCGTGGTGCTGCTGGCCTGGGGGTGACCCTCAGACAACTCAACCAGTACCAGACCCCCACAGGTAAAATATCTAATCTTATCTAAAGAGGGAACCCCAACGCTCTCCCCGGGAGCAGTATAATATTCAATACATTAATTCTTTATGGTATGTATCTTAGAGTTGATGAGATATATGTCGGTGCATGTAAGTCAATGATGATAGATTGTGAATAAATTTAATATGGCCAGGCAAGATAATTATGATGCTTTAAGCAGAAAATAAACTGGATCTCATTTTGGGGCTTTATTGATATCTGTAAGATTATTCACTCTTGATTTCCATGAACTTGATTTATATTTCTAGCTGTGAATGGAATGTGTGAAGAAGATGATGGAGGTAAATGTCATTAACGAAGCCCTGCATTGGAAGCTAATTAACATGATTTACTTCCTGTAACTGCATGTACCTGTACATGATTTCCATAAAGAGGTAGGTCTTTTGGTGCATATTTCAAGTTGACATCAAAATTTAATTTAGTTAATTATAATTTTAGCAATGCATTTTAACAAGAATTTGTTTGACAAATCATTATTTTAACTCTTCAGAATGGATTCTTAATAACACTATTAACAGCTAGGGTAGGGACTATTATTCATATTATGATAAACCAGCATAAAAATTAACGTTTTTTTTTTGTCTTGTAGGAATATTATCTAAAGAAAGAAAGTTCACGGGCTGGTTACAGACTTCATTTTTCACATGCCATTGAAGGTACATGTACTTATGTGATACCAATTAAACAAATTGTTAATGCATTTGATCACTGTGAAAAAAGGTGCCAATTTTGCATGGCTATAACTTTATCTGAAATGAAAATATTCAACATTTCAGAAAGGTTATTACAGTGACGTCACTGGTTATTATTATAATATTGATTAATGTAAAATATTTTGAAAAAAATATACCCTGTGTGATATTTAAGAAAAAAATTTTTTAGAAAGTGTCAAAAGTATACATAATTAAAAAAATTTTGCAAGAAACTTTATTGTGGATGTTTTGCAGGTAAAAGAGCTTCATACAAAAGGAGATGAGGCAGCGAGAATCGCGGCATCCCAGAGTTCCCTAGAACCTCCCACGTCACCCAGTCATGGCTTCCAGTACCTTCTGAGACTGGTACGTAACTGTCGCTAGTGTTAACTGCTTATATCAACATAATTAAGGTTTTCTGACCCTCTGACAAGAGAGATAACTCCCACGTCATCCAGTCACGGCTTCCAGTACCAACTGAGACTGGTAGGTAATTGTCGCTAGTGTTAACTGCTTATATCAACATAATTAAGGTTTACTGACCCTCTGACAAGAGAGATAACTCCCACGTCATCCAGTCACGGCTTCCAGTACCAACTGAGACTGGTAGGTAATTGTCGCTAGTGTTAACTGCTTATATCAACATAAATAAAGTTTACTGACCCTCTGACAAGAGAGATATTACTCCCACGTCATCCAGTCACGGCTTCCAGTACCAACTGAGACTGGTAGGTAATTGTCCCTAGTGTTAACTGCTTAATATCAACATAATTAAGGTTTACTGACCCTCTGACAAGAGAGATAACTCCGACGTCACCCAGTACACAGACTGAGATATAGTGTCCTAGTGTTAGACTGGTATCAACATAGTAATTCATACACAGAGACAGTTAATATAGTATAATATAGTTCCCTTTACATATTACAGGTATTATAGTATGAAATATTACAAGAGATAGGTAACATTTGAATTTTATATATGCAAAATCATATCCTACACATGTATATTATAGATATAGTATCAATTACACAGAGATTTTAGATATATTTAAATTCATACACAAAGACAGGTAGATATTGATAATAGCTACACAAAACATGTATTAATTTTACACAAACAGGTAGCTATAGTATGCATATTTCCATAGAGAACATAGAAATCTATTATCGTACACAGAGACATATTAGCGTCATATATACACAAAACATTAGATATAATCTATTTTACACATGTTTGTGATATTGTCATTTTACACAAAGACAATGAAGATATAAAATACATTGTAAAGAGAAGTTGCCTATGTATCAATCATACACAAAACATGTAGATATAGCATCATTATCATAAATTTACTTAGAAAATAGCATCATACGATACCAATATGTAAATAATTTATTATATCTCTACTCTTGATTTAAATATAGTCCATATCTTACACAAGACGCAATTTGTATCGTCTGACTGGTACACAGAGACAGCGATTGTATGATAATACACAAAACATGCCAGATATTGTCAATCCAATTTTAAATGCGCAGTGCATTGGAAATCTAACTTACACAGAATAGATAGATACTACACAGAGACAAATATGTTATCGTATAACAGAGACTTAAAATAACTTCATATCGTCCAGACATAATTACTAAAATACGACATGAGACAGGTATGTTTATTGTCTATAAATTTTTTACATTACAGGTCGATATAGTATCATATATCATACACAGATGATATAATAGATACGTACAATTAATGTAGATTAGTCATCTATATTACATTGATTTAATATAAATGTCATAAACAAAACAGGTATATATAGTAAATATCGTCACATGCAATGTTGATTCTGTTTTATTTACACAGAGACAGGTAGATATGTGTACACAGAGACAGGTAGATATAGTTCATATCTGTACACAGAAGACGGTAGATTAGTATCATATCTTACACAGAGACATCCAGATGTTGATATCTTACACAGAGACAGGTAGAACTATACTCTTCAACAGTGGAAATAGCTAAGTATCATGTACACCAGACAGGTAGGAAAAGTCTATATATTTACACAGAGATAGGTAGATATAAGTTATGTTACACAGAGACAGGTAGATATAGCATAATCATTAATAAGACAGGTAGATTAGTATTATGTCTAAACAAAGACAGGTATATATATCTTACTATCAAAGACAGGTAGATTTGCATTGTACACAGAGTCACTGTAGATATTATCATATCGTACACAGAGAATTTAATCTCTCTAGTACCCTTACATCCAGATTTTTGATCTGTTTTACATTACACAGTGTCAGCTGTATAAGTTTCATATCATACATAGAGACAGGTTGATATAGTAATTATTGTACACAAAGACCCAGGAAGATATAGTATCATATCATACAGACAGATGATATAGATCATTCATACTGACAGGTATATTACAAAGGTGTAACGCTGTAATAATAAGTTTGATAACTACACAAGGTTTCATAAAGCGATGTACAATTTCAGCAGACCCCCCACCTCTAGATATAGAATAACATCTACAAAACAAAATATATAATTGGTCTGAAAATATTACAGTGATTTTGGTTTACAAGTTAAGGAATGTACATATTGTGTATGATTTATATTACAGATGTCATTGTATAGACTGTACGATGTTATATAAAAGGTGTGATTTTATATTACAGGTGTCGCTGTATAAGTTTGTCCATCTGGCGGGGGACCTCCTGCCCCCTCCCTCTATGTACCCTACATCCAGATGTTGATTGGTCTGTTTTATATTACAGGTGTCGCTGTATAAGTTTGTCTGTCTGGCGGGGGACCTCCTGCCCCCCTCCCTCTACGTACCCTACATCCAGATGTTGATTGGTCTGTTTTATATTACAGGTGTCACTGTATAACTGTTTGACCTTCTCTGGTCAGTGGAATGGGATCAGCCCCCCTCCCTCTACGTGGACCTACACCAGATCAGTTGATTGTCTAGATTCCTTTATTAGGTGTCAAGCTGTATAAATTTCATGTAATTTTGCGACCTAAGCTTCCCTAGCCAAAAAATACCCTATTGCTTTTGATTTTTCTGAGTGCTAACCCACATTAAATGCCCACTGTTGCTTAACCGTACAGTTGCTAATTATAAATTGAATTCAGGTAGACCCAGTTCACATAAATAGTACTTGCAGAAAAATAAGGAATGTACAGTAAAGAAGTTCTAATGACAGATGTTTTGTGTGCTGTCACAAATGGTCTAACCTTCAGCCAAAGATGTAAAAAGACAATTTAAAAGTTTTAGAGCATAATTGATTCAGCAAGCACTTAGCTTTCTTAATTTACCATATGAATCTGTTCCTTATACAACAGAAGTTTTGTATCTTGAATACCTTGGATATGTCAAATTAATTAAAAGTCCCATTACCTTTAAGTATTTTACCATTGATATCTCAAAAAATTTTCTTGCTCTAAAAAATTAACATATGGTTTGCCTGAACTTGTCTTATATATGAGTATTTTTTACACTAGGAGGCCCAGCCAGTGCCGTTTCTTGGCAGCACATTTTCCTGTCACTGAATATGTACTATACCAGTTTGCGTCGGGAGGTTCCTAGCAGTGCTGACATGTCTCACATGGGGCTCCGAGTTCCCCACCCCCAGGGAATCACCCCACAGGAACTAGAGGGGCTGGTCGTCGTCCTGAAACTGTGTCGTGTTGTGTCTGAATATGTGAGTACATTTGTCAATCATCAGATAAAGAAAATAATATTATACTATAATAGCCAAGGGTTTTGATTTGATCAACCCATAATTCATTGTAGTTTGTTATTAAGGCATGATAATAATGGACATTCTGTATTATTTTTCTTGTATTGAATAATGAGTTTATATCAATTTTAATATTCCTGAATCAAAGCATAGGAAGTAATAAAGACTTTTAAAAGGGGAATCTAATTTCGAAATCTGCATAAATGGCAGATTACCGGTACTATCTAACACCAGAAAAATTGGCATCTTATTTTACAGAATGAGAACTGCCGCATGGCGTTCTGTGAGAACCAGTAGTGGCAGGTGGCGGTGGTGTTATTTGGTCTGGTGACCTGTAGTATCCCCCTCGGTCTTAAAGCAGAGATCTTCAGGGTGCTGGCAGCATTCGCTAGGACGTCGGACGTGGCAGCCAGTCTTTGGCATACACTGGAAGCCTCACAGGTAACCACTGAAATACTGCTCTTTACTATTATTTTTATTGATGTTAAGTGTATTTATTGCATTGACATGCACCTCTCCTCTTGTTTTCCCTATATTGTACTGTATGTACATGTATGTGGGTTTACTAGATTAATTTGTTTAATACTTAGTTTAAAGAATCTGACCACAGTTCAGAGCAGCAGTTCCTCTCAAAGTGGAATCCAGGTAAATCTTTGTTTTCTCAGGTTAAATAATCTCTGTTCTTTTTCATAATTCTCCAGCCTAAAAAGAACAGAACTACCAATCTTGCTGTACACATAGAAATTTATCTAGAGACCAATACACTTGTAATTACATATTGTGTCTCTCATGATTGTAAGAGTTATGTACCTTTGATGTAAAAAAAAATTACAGCTGGAAATGAACAATACACAGACAAAAAAGGTAGAAAGAGATTGAAACAATAAAAATTTTTTATCAGCTCTACTGGTCACAGACCAGAAGAGCTTATGCGATAGTATGGTGTCTATCGTCCATCTGTCTGTCTAGCTGTCCGTCTGTCTGTAAACAATTTTTCAAAACGCTACTCCTCCTACAGTTTTGGTCTGATTTTAATATAACTTGGCACACAAGTAGACTACACTAAGATACATAAAATAGAGCATCAGTTTTTTATTTTGAAGAACAGTGATGCCATTGTTACTAAAAATAGAAATGTCTTTTGTTATATCCTTTGTTATAAGTACAAACCAGTAGAGCTACAGTCTCGACAGAGACTTCTGGTTTTAAAATTGTATCTGTCATTTGCATTGACATTAATTGAAAATGTGGTTTATTGTGTGTGATTTATTGCCAAAGGTAATTTAAAGTTGCAAGTGACTGTTTAAGAATCCCTTGTATACAACTGCAGGATTGATTTCTTTCAAGTAAATCATAATGTAAAGCTTTATTTACAGTGGGAGGTGTCCAGTGACTGTCTAAGGATCCTATGTAAGCTCCTGCGGGAGTATGAAGTGGTGGGGGCTGACTTTGGGGAGGAGCTGGTTGAGGTACAGATGGGGGGCGTGGTCCCCGCTAACAAGTCCCTGGGGTACATCCTGATGCTTCACCTACTGATGGACTCCCACTTCCTGTCCAAGGTGAGATTCATATATTTTCCTGCTTAAATGGATATCTTTATTGAGATTTTTTTTAAAAATTGGGCTGGGAGTGGAGACATATGTGCTTTGTTTTGTTAAGAATTGAAGTTACATAATTATTTCAGGTGTTGAAAATACTGGATGACAGCGTCCGACAACTTGAAACATACAAGGCTATACTAGGTAAATAGTGATTAAAGAAATTCAGGTGTTTTTTTTGTGTTGTAAAGTGTTTAAATTTGTTTGGTTGATTGAACTGGCTAATCACAGGCACCTGACGTTACTTATTTTTCTTTTAATAAAAAAAATATACACATACCTAATAATAAACAAGGTACCCATCAAAACCCGCCATCTTGGATTTTCGAAGTAGGTCATCACTTGTATTTTCGTCTGAAACTCCGTCAAATAAATTCCCTGCAACCATATTCTTTCTGTGGCCAGTCTTTCGAGGTCCAAACTTACGGACACTGCAGCCAGAAAGGCGCATCACACTTGCAAATATTGAAAATCCCTCGTCAAACTCACTCCCGCACCTGCACCATTATGAAGATCCTAAGGAATCCCAAAAAAAAGGGGGCTACCTACTGCTTCAACATTCCGAGAAATCACCAAAGGGGGGCCGGAAGTTTACATACGACTTGAAATTCTTAGGAAAGCCCTTTTTTTAATGGTCAATATATTTGTACGATTTATTTTTAAAAATAACCGGTGAAAATTAGTACCTATTCCAAAAACAATAATTCAGACAATAATACAACGTAATATACATGTAAGAACATTCATTTTATTTCTCTCAATATAATTTCGATAAAGCTTGATCAAAGCGATTATATATTTTGTAAATGTCGAAGATCGGCCTGATCATGCTAGATGATCAGTGAACATTTTCGAGACAAATTGAGTCGGTTTTAAGTCCCTACTTACATGTACATGCACTAAATATAATTAATAACACTGTCATTATTGATGCCCTGATTGAGCGCTATCCGTGCAGAAGATTGACTTTATTTAAAGTATGTACATTTTGTACGCACGTGTAAAAAAAAGGGGGGGGCCCTCTCCTATTTAAAATTATAAAAAGCCGAAGATTGCATATTGCATAGGAATGTCAGGAAGCATTTTTGAGATCTGCAATTTAATGTATTGCAATAAAGTTACGTGGCATGGCGACATTTTTATTTTTTTTTTCTTGGTGACAGATTATACATATACATGTTGCACAGGCTTATATTTGATTTCTTTACATATCCTTTCATCAGTGTGATCCCTCTCCTTTTTCAATTAAGAATATGCCAGGTATATATGTATATATATATATAATTTGATGGTTTGCAGTCTATTGTTTTTTGAAAATTATTCAATTAACTCTAGATGATTTGTTGTTGATTTTTTTTTTCAAGCACCCCCCTCTTTTATTCAAGATTGTTTCGAACGCAACGACAAATTGTATATCAAAATTTAATATTGTATATTTTACAGGTATATTTATATTAAAAGTGAATTTATTTTTAATAAATTTTGCATTTTTTTCATTTCTATAATCGAAATATTTATAAAAATTTCAAAGTAATTATAACACCCCGCTTTAGATCCACCACAAAACTGACAAATACTGAATTCCCAGTGTGCCTATTACTTTTCGTGAAAATTACGCTATTTGTCCAATTTTACGGGACAACCCTGGTATAAAGCTTTATTTATAGTCCTGAGGTGTAGCATATTGATGTAAACTTCTGGCCCCCCTTTGGGGAATTTTGGGGAGGATGTTGAAGCAGTAGGTCGAGTTTGACGAGGGATTTCCAACATTTGCAAGTGTGATGCACCTGAAGGCTGCAGTGTCCTGTAGGTGAGTTTAATTTCCTCGAAAGATGGCCACAGAAAGAATTGGGCTTGAAGGTGGAATTTATGTACGGAGTTTTGTTAAAATTGAAGTTGATGAATTATTTCAGAAAATTGAAAGACTGGTGGTGTTTTGAAGGCTATACCTTGTTTATTATTAGGAATGTGTATGTTTTAAATTTTATGTAAAGTGAAAAATTTGTTTGGTTGCCTGTGTGGCTAATGTTAAATAAGTGAATTTGATTGGTTGGATGGACTGGATAATGTTATGTGAGGTAATTTGATTGGTTGATATTACTGGCCAATGCTAGGGGAGCAGGAGAGTTAATTTGATTGGTTGATTGTATTGACTGATGCTAAGAGAGCTAATTTGATTGGTTGATCTGTACAGGACAGGAGTCCCTGGAGTCGGCCAGTCTGCTGTGTTTACAGCTGATAGAGACGAGTCTGGAGAAGTCGGGGATGTTCCTGGACGCGTGTCGTGAGACAGGAGCCTCCGCCATGGTGTCCGCCATGGATCATCTTCTCCTGAGTATTAATCCACACAGCGGGAAAGCCGACCACCTCCTTAATGTCACAAAGTAGGTCAATAAAAGTAACAAAAATAACAAGCAAAACATTTATTTTATTTGAATAATATGAAAGTTTTATTGCGTTTAGTCATTCAAGTCTTATAAAAAATGGAAAGTTGTAAGAAACATTAATTTTATCATCCT